CACACAAGGACGCATTGAAGGGCAAGGACATTCCTGTGGGAGCTCGATGGACAAGGATCGATCGTCGTCTCGTCAACCCTGAAGCCCTCGAGCAAGCCAAGGAGCGCTTCGAAGAGCGAATGGACTGTGTCATCGTGCTGCGGGTCTTGACCAAGGAAGAGATCCAGAAGCTCGCTGATCGCACCAAGAAGATCCGCGAGAGCAGAGGTATGTTGACATTAGGTCTTGTTTCATGATCAGTACTAACATACCCGCAGAAGAGGAGTACGACCATGACCGCCGCGACCGTGACGACCGCGACAGGCGAAGCCACCGTTCCAAGGACGACAGGGATGATGAGGAGCGTGACAGCGACCGAGAGCGTCGCCACCACGACCGTGAGCGACGCCGCCGCTACGACGATGAAAGCGACTACGACGACCGCGAGCGAGAGCGAGAGCGAGAGCGCGAACGCGACAGGCCCAGGAAGGTTGAGATCGATGAAGGAAGGTGATTGCAATGAATAGCTTTGCGCATTGTACTCCGTGTTATCGTTCCTTTGAGAACATGTCGAGTACGCGCTTACGCTAGTTGGATTGTAGAAGAGAACGAAGGACACAGGAATAGTCCTTCAGGTCCGTGGAGAAGGACACAACGACGGAGAAGCCCCCACACGAGGTCGCACGTCCGACCTCCCACAAATCTAAAAAGTAACATTGGAAAGACCGGAACAACACATCCTCTGCGCTTCTGGAAAGTACAAGCCCTGGCTCCCCGCCTCAACGTCGCGTTTCGAGGCGCCACCGCCGAAGTAGCAGTGCACCGGAGCACAGCTTCGACTATCGTTCATCCACACAAGGCGGTGGCAGAGTCAGACGCAAACACAACCGCATTCGCAGAGTACTGGATTGGTTATGAAAGTACATGGCACTCTTTTGTTGTTCAGTGTTGTTTGGCGCTTGGCTGGCGTTTAAGGGGAGGTTCTCTGTTCACTTTCGTTACGCATAGCGACGGGGATGGCATAGCATAGCATGGCGAAGAGTGAGCGAGCGAGCGAGAACCTTCTTTCTTGTACAATACTCGCATTTACGTCTCCTTTCGAATACCTATGCGAATTGATACGTTCAACATGACTTTCTATATATGTTGTTGTTGCCGTGATGTTCGTATGAGTGGCGCATACCTGCTTATTCACTGCTCGAAGAACCACACGTGATCAAGGCCTATGCCACGTATTCTCAAGTATCAACAGATTCATCACATGAAGCACAGTTTTACATTCAACTACCTAACCCCACCCTCACTTCTTACTCGGATTCGGACTAACCGTCCCCTCTGGAAACTTGCGAAAGATATCCGCAATATGATCAATCGGCGCCGCCAACATGCCCATCGGGCCCTCGAAATACGGGTTCTCGCCCGCACTCGGATGGGCTCTCGACGGCACAAACATCTTTGTACGACCAAAGTTCTTGGCCAGCGACTCTGAGTTTCCCCGGTTTTCAGAGGAGGATAGCGCGGCTTCGAGGGCGGGTAGGTCGGAGCCTTCTTCTTCGGCAATGTGCACGGAGAGGAGGGACCAGATTTTTTTGAGCTGCGGGATGTAGGATGTGGATGCGGGGTCCATGTTTTGGAATTCTTTGAGGAGGATTTTCACCTATGCGTGTGTTGTTAGTAGGGGCGTGGTGTGGATTGGCATGGGAAGAGTGGTATGTTACCTCGTGATGCTGTTTCCGGTCTAATTCCGCATGCGCCTTTCCCTTTGCGCCCATGTACTTTTCCATGGCTGGGTAGACGAGTAGTTCCTCAGCGACGGAGTGCCGGGCTAGCTCCCAGGTGAATTGGTTGCCGTAGCGGGTTGCATGGTCGATGTCGGTGGGGTTGTTGATGATCTCTTTGTAGTAGGTCTCTAGCTTGCGGTGGTCCTTGGTGATGGCTTCGGAGATGGTCGAGTTGAGGGCTACCTGGGTGCGAAGGTAGGCTGGTCTGGCAGCTATGCGGAGTGTCTGTGGCCGGAAGACGGCTCGGGTGAGTGGTGATGCGATGGCACGATGAGCGAACATTGTGATGGTATGAGATGATTATTGAGGATTGAGTGAGAATTGAATAGAAGGTGTATCAAATCCAATCTCGAGGTAAGTCGCGAGCTTTTGTCTCATATGGCTATTAACGCGACGATACGTCATTCCTTCGCCAAAGATACGTTCCTACACTGTCCAGCTGCTCTCTGCCCAGGTGTTTGCGCTTTGGACATGCGCGTGCAACTTGTCGGTGATGTCGCGCAGTGTATTGGATGACGATTACCTGTTGCATGATTGGACTGGAAGCAGTGTCCACACGCCGTGTGTTTGGTACCGATAATTGTGCAAGGTGGAGTAATGTTCCGCGGAGCGACGTGTTGATGATGCAGGATGCAGCGGATCGGAAACGTCACATTGCCACCATGCCGAAACATGCGAAAGTCTAGAATTCCCATGCCCTTTTTACCCACCGCGCTCCACAGCATCCGCGGACTGCAACTGCCACGGCGAATGAGGGATTAAGTATTAGTCTTATCTTTCCAAAAAGGTATTGCCCACTAAAAGCGGTCCTGGTTAAACAAATATTGACAGCGCCTAATCCACTCAGGTCGTCGATACACGAGGCACTAAACCTCGAAGCACCAATCCAGCTGCCAACTGTCCCTGCACGTGAAGTCGTGGCATCTTACCCCTCTCCTCTACGCGTCAGAGACGCATCAACGTGACAAAATACAAAATACCCGCAGCAGCCGTTGCCCACGTATGCAGCAATGGCGTGCCCTCCAAGATGGCCTCTTAAACTCGCACCCGCTGTTGCTTCTTCATGGAGATTCCCACGTCTTTACCAAGCAAATTGACCGCAGCCATGTCGACCGGTGCGAACGCTTCCCAGAATGACCCGTTGCAACATCCCCTCGAGGCCATCTCTCAGGGTATTCAAAGCGCTACTGGAGAGAAGCGTGCGCCAAGGCAGAGCCACATGGGCTCAGCCAACGAGGGACCTGCCGATATAGCTGCGAAGATTACGGGCGCAGTTCAAGGCGGAAAGCGTGAGGATGATGGCCCTTACTTCACTTCCAATGAAGGGATCCCGTGGATCGACCCGTAAGCTTGCGAGTACCCGCACACCTCAAGGACATGTTTATTAACGTCTCATAGGGCACACAGCAAGACTATCGGCGGAATCCCTGTGGCGAGCGATGTCTTCCTCTTCCAGAAGCAGCAGACGTTCAACCGTTCCAAGAACCTTGAGCGTATGGTGCACCCTTGCGGTTCCGGCGCGTTTGGATACTTTGAGTGCACCAAGAAGGTTGACGCTCTTACGGTACGTCTGTCTTGATCATCTCACAACTGCCAAACCTGACTTCTCCTAGAAAGCCAACTTCCTCTCCAGTGTAGGCGAAAAGACTCCCATCTTCATCCGCTTCTCGACGGTTACGGTCGGTCGCGAATACCCCGACGAAGCCCGCAACCCCCGTGGCTTCGCCATCAAGTTCTACACCATGGAGGGCAACTATGACATCGTCGGCCTCAACTTCCCCATCTTCTTCTGCCGCGACCCTATTCAAGGTCCAGACGTAATCCGTTCGCAAGCTCGTAACCCCAGGAACTTCCTTCCTGATTACGATGCCATCTTCGATCTGCTGGCAAACACCCCTGAGAGTAACCACGCCGGTCTCATGTTCTTCAGTGACCACGGCACTCCCGTTGGCTGGCGCTTCAACCACGGCTACGGTTGCCACACCTTCAAGTGGGTCAACGCTCAGGGCAAGTTCGTATACATCAAGTACCACTTCATCGCCAAGCACGGCCAGAAGCAGTTCACCCAGCAAGAAGCGACACAGATGTGCGGTGAAGACCCAGACTACTCCAAGCGCGACCTGTGGGAGACCATTGAGAAGGGCGAGGAGATTGAATGGACCGCCATGGTGCAAGTCATGGAGCCTGAGGATGCGGATCCCGAGAAGCTTGGCTTCGATCCCTTCGATGTCACCAAGGTCTGGCCGCGCAAGCAGTTCCCCATGCAGGAGTTTGGTCGTCTTGTGCTGAACAAGAACCCTGAGAACTACCACCGCGACGTTGAGCAGGCTGCCTTCTCGCCCGGAAGCATGGTCCCCGGTATCGAAGACTCTCCCGACCCATTGCTCCAGTTCCGCATGTTCTTCTACCGCGACGCGCAGTACCACCGCATTGGTAAGTCTTGACTATAAGCAGTGCATGTGAGACGTATACTGACATCCTGCAGGCGTAAATCTTCACCAGATCCCCGTCAACTGCCCATTCATGTCAAAGTCCTTCGCGCCTCTCCAGTTCGATGGCCAGATGCGTGTCGATGCCAACCACGCAGGAAACAAACAATACAACCCCAACAGCTTCGCGCACAAGTTCCGCCCCGATGTGGCCGAGGCGCCGTACCAGGTCTCAGACAATGTGATGAGCCGCAAGAGCCACTACTGGCATGAGGCGAAGAAGAACGAGTACGACCAAGCCAAGGAGCTGTGGAGCAGGGTCATGTCGCCTGAGAGGAGGCAACACACCATCACCAACACCTTCAACATGCTCAAGTTTGTCAAGTACGCTGACATTCAGGTAAGTCTCAGCCATGCGCACTTCAGTCGTACTCCGCATACTGACACTCTACTAGAAGAAGTACCTCGCGCAAGTGTACAACATTGGTCCGGACTATGCTCAAGGCATCTACGACCTCCTTGCGAGCTCTGACTCGAAGCCGGAATTCCCCTTCTCAGAAGTCGAGAAGCTGTCTGAGTCGGCACATGTCTGGTTCAAGGAGGAGAAGTTCAGGCCTTCGAATGGTACGAGGTTGACTGGATATGCGCCAAGTGGGCCAGTCTACAACTGAGGTTGTTGATTGAGATTGGATATGAATGCTTGCGGAGATACCTAGCGCTGTAATAACCCATCGGCAAGAATGAATTATGAATTGCGAGAGCTACGCGTGTTCGTATCAATTTGCTCCGATGTTGGCGAGACGGGATCCGTTTATTCGGGTATGACCAGGTCCTCTGGACACCATTGCTGCAGGGTACCTTCCCCAAAAGCAAAGTCATTCTCGATTTGCGTGAAGAGGTATTGGTCCGCTTCGTCCAGGGTCCATGACCAAGGCTTAGGGCTGGTGGCGGCTGACGCAGGACCTTCCATATCATGTTGAGTATTACGAATTGCGATGCTATCGATACCTTGTTGCTGCGAAGGCAGTTGCGCAGTAGTGCCGACTGAAGTAGACTGGCCAACATTCCGAGCGGCACCTCCGTCATCCGCTTCCATAGCCAACCTCGAAGCTGTTTCTCTGTCGAGATATTGGAAAAATAGCTGTAACACCCAATTGGTTACTTCCCACGTCTTCTGCAGTTCTTGCAAGCCCAGCAGGCAAAGCTTGGCTCGATGCTCAGCGAGCGTGCGATTGATGCCGTTCGAGCGCCGGAAGTTGACAACATGTATGCAGAGTGTGTTGAAAAGGTTTGTGATGACGTGCATCTGAGCGTGCCCAATGTTGCCGTCCGGCAGCATATCCTCGACTATACGCGAATTGCGCGCTGCTGCCTGTAGCGCTACATTTCCGTCCGCGGATGTGTTGTTGTTCTCGTCTACAACGAAGCTGGTGCGGTGGAGTAGAATGAGTAGATTGTTGTACGCGAGATGAAGCATGCTGGCTTGGAAGTTGGGCGGATCGCCAGCATCGCTATGCAGCTGCATGATACTTGGAAGGTCTTGCCTCCATTTGTAGAGCTCGTTGCGGAGTTTGACTCTCTCCTCGGGCGCGAGGTCCCGTCCCGGCAGATAACCGGCATCCACTACTCTGCCAAGGAAGACCGCCAGCTGCACCATACTTATCGTGTACACCGTGTACCTATGGCGGTCTTCGAGAGGAGTGGACGGCGAAAAAGCAGCAGTGAAATCCGCGGAAGACAGCGGCTCAATATCGCAATCTTTGTCGCGTATGCGGCAGGGTAGCCCTAGAGCTGATGCGCATTGTCGCTCGCGCACATAGATAGCCCACCAAAGCCTCCTCTTGACCCTCGCGCGTCCCTCATCAGTATCACCCCCGGAACGATGTAGTGCTCTTGTTTGCGAGAGACTAATAGCTGTGCCTAGCCAATGTCGTGCGTCCTTCTCCAATAGCGCACCGGCTCGCCAAAAGCTCATGAGAAACAGAGCTTGTATGACTTTGACCTTGTCAGTCTCGTACGTAGAATCGTATAGGTCTTTTGCCCTGATGTAAAAGAACCATTTCGCTCGATGACGGTTTCCCCACCCAAGAGCCTTGAGGGTAGACTCTTCGCAGTGAATAACGCCAATAAACATCATAGCTTGTAAAGACAAGGCGGAGAACGTGAAGTCTTGGTACGAGGCCCAGAAGTCTTCTTCGTCTATGATTGCAAAGTGTGGATGGAACCATTTGAAGTACGCCTGAAGGAGCTCGAGCCGGACCTCGGCGGGAGGAAACGAAAAGGCACCCTCTGCTTGTAAGATCTTCTTGCGCGCAAGACGTCTTTCAGATTCCCATTCTGGAACGAACGATTCTGCTCTTGCAGCGCTTGGAACGGCATGACGAAAACAGGACTGTCGGCGATGAGCTGCTGCTTCTGATGGCTCACCAGCCTCGCTTGTCGTCACATAGCGCAAAGAGCTGCTTTCACCAAGGAAAACGGCATCATCTTGGTGAACAGACCCTGTTGTTGGTGGGTTACTCTGCTGTTCTGCTGACACTGCCGGAGTGTGAAGTTGGTATTGGCTTCCGGAAGCTGGCGTGTGGTTGACGGGGCTGTGGAAGTTCGACGATAGCGACGCGAGAACATGTGACGCCGCCACCTCATCCTCGTGTCGCTGCGGGCTCAAAGCCGATGTACTTGGTGGGCTTTCCGGGATTAGTAACTACCACAGAGCTCCAAGTGGACATAACTCACGTTCTGCTGCGCGTCTCCGCCTCGGCCCGCGGCTTCCTGATGTGCTTTCCGCGTCTCGATTCACGCGTCTCGCACTCGACGTTGGCGGTTGCGCAGTTGCTACAAGGATGGCGATCCGTGACATCGCACTTGACGCGTCGCGCGTTGCAAGTCACACATGCCAACTTTGCGCGTTTCCGTGGTGGCTCGGACATGTTGCCGAAGCTCAACGTTTGCTTTGATTTGGAAGACGCCGAAGTCGGTTACCAAAATTGTCCGTGAAGGGTGACGTTATCGATATCGGCTATCCTTCGGCATCTTCCTCCACCTTTCTAGTTGTCGACCATCACTAACTACCCATTTCGCATCATCAAACTCATTGCGAGCATTTCATTGAGACGTCGATGCTCCAGGGTGATAGTAAGATAACTTAGCCATGGCCTCCGTGGCCCGCCGCCTGTTCTCCACGACCTCCTCCCACCGCCAAGCCTCCGCAACAGAAGCATGTAGTGAACTCCTCACCCGTTTCCAAAAAGGGCCCGTCTCGATCCGTAAACAGCTCCTCGATGCAAACCAACTTCAGCTGCTCTCCATAACACTCAACCGTACACCCTCCTCTTTCAACCCGCCACCAACCGGCACGCCGATTCCACCCGGCTACCACCTGGTCTATTTCACTCCCTCAATCAATGAAGCCGAATTAGGACTTGATGGCACAGATCGCACTGTGAACCCTCTGAGTCCATTTACCAGACGAATGTGGGCTGGTGGCGAGTTGACGTGGGCGCAAGACCGGAACGCATTGCTGAGAGTGGGCCAAGAAGTCAAAGAGACGACGAAACTGCTGAGTGCTGAGCCTAAAACGTTGAAGAATGGAGGAGAAATGCTGCTCGTGGGTGTCGAGAAGACCTTCTCAAATGACCACGGTATCGCATTAACGGACCGCCGTAATTGGGTATTTCAGCGTGAACTTACACCTGAGAATCCAATAAGAGCACCACCAAAGCCAGAAGAGAAAGAGCTACCTACTGGAAAGCACCAAAGAGATTTTTGCCAAACGCCTACTTCGTTGTTTCGCTTCTCGGCGCTGACGTTCAATGCGCACAAGATACACTACCTACCTGAGTGGTGCAGAGAAGTAGAGGGTCACAGGAATGCTGTTGTACATGGACCGCTCAACCTCATCAATATGCTGGACTTTTGGCGAGATACGAGCAAGAATGGGGACACGGAGGCAGTACCCAGATCCATAGCGTATCGTGCTATGAGCCCGCTATACGTCGGTGAGCCGTATCGAATACTACTGGAGCACGATCCAACACCCGGAGGATGGAGAGCGGGAGTGTGGGATAGTTTTGGAAAGCAGAGTATGAAGAGCACTATCGCAGAATAGGTGCATTCTTCAATGGGTTTGGCATTAAGGGTATAAGCTAAGTGACAGTCCAAACTATGATGCGTTCTAAATAAGAGCCTAAACACTCATTCCAACGTGGAACCGTAAAGTCATTACTTCAGCATCGTAAAGTCTTACATTCCTCCAGAACGGCTTGATTAAGCCCACTTACCCAGAACACTCATGAGCACAAGACCGCAAACGAGTGCGAACAGAGCACTGATAGTCCTGGCAGCACCTGCATTGAGCAGTTTTCCGTGCATCCAGTCCCTTGCCAGCATCTCCACAAGTCCAACCCACGTCAAGATACCAGCGGACAGTGCATCGAGGGTTCCAATGGCGATGATGGTGCTAGGGTCGTTGCCGTTGAAGTGGTCTAGCGTTCCGATACCGATCGCCATGCCGATGGGTGTGATGAGCGCGAAAATGCCACACATGAGAAGCTTTTGTGCGGTACCAGCAGCAGCTTTGGGAAGCTCGGCGATACAGGTTCCAAGGGCGATACCTTCGAACATTTGATGGAAGAGGATAACAATGAAGAGGGTGATGAAGAATCCATCGCTTGCGACGACAAGGGTGATACCGATGAGGATGGAGTGGAAGATGATACCCGCCTCCAGGTTCATTACATTGATCTTCTCTTCCATGGGAGTAGCCTCGCGCATCGGACCATGGGCATGAACAATTCCATGACTGCGGTTGAAGTCATGAGTGGGCTCTGCTGAAGGAGAGCTGTTTCCGGATTTGTCTCCACTAGCTGCCACCTCGGTGCTGGGAGCGGTGTGTTTTCCCTGGCGCCACTGGACAAAGCGCGCACCGAGGTAGTCGACCAGGAAGGACAACATCAACCCAGCCATGAAGATGGCAGCGGTGGTGGCTTCGTACTCCAGAACACCCAGACATTGGTTTGCGAACATGAGCTGGGCGTGGGTGAAGAGGTGGACGAAGGCGGTGGAGATGACGATACCGGTTCCAAACTGCTTGAGGACGACGAAGACGATGTTGTTGGCGCCAACGAGGTTGAACTTCCGGGTCAGGACGGGGGTAAACACACCAAGTCCACTGGTAAAGAGAATGACGAAGAGCAGGCCGACTCGTAGGGGGATGTTGTAGTCGCGCTGGGGAGCATCGCAGTTGACTTCGGATTCGCTTCCACCAACGCAGTGCTCAACACCGGCGTGGTCGTGGCAATGTCCCTTGCTTCCTGCTGGCTCACTTTCAGCAGCTGACTCTTCGTCTGTGTGCGAGGAGCCTTCTGTCGACTCTTCAGCTTCGGTCATGAGCAAGACATCTTCGCCGGCATCATCGACACAGTATCTTCCCAAGTCAGCATTTCTTCGAACATCGTGATGGGTGAAACCTACGTATCGGTTTGGTGCTTGTGACATTGCGTGTACTCTGCTTGGAACTCTTCTGTCGCAGTGGGCCCGACTACCTGGTACTCATCTGAGCCGAACATGCAATAGCTGTTGCAAGTTAGCGCCAAACTCTACCAGCCAAAGCTGACAACGGGAAACCATACAGAACAGTGTTATGGGGATGGCATGATGACACAGCCGTGATAGACGGAGTCCCGGTAGTGAAGACGGTGGTAGTCGCGCCAGCTTGAGTGACAGTGACGGTGGGTGTTTGCGCAGCGGCAGAGCCCGCAAGCAGTAGAACTGCAGCAGAGAGGGTAGAGCGCATGGCTGAAGGAATGTTCAGGGTCTACCGGATAGGTTTAACGAGCGAACCGACGGGTGTAAAGCTGTTCAAGGTGATACCAGCTCAGGCCCTTGATATATCGACTTCGTTCAAGCTTTTCGTCGTGTCAGCGGAGTGGAACGCATGTACCGTGATGGGGCAAGGCAGCCCCCCACAAGGATGCCGCGAAGAATTCTTCGGTATCCATTTGTCTCTAGGGCTTGCTGTTGCTTCACACAGAGCGCCACGGGCGGTCTTGGCATTGAGTACCCTGTTGGATGGTTTACCTTGGCATAAGTCTTGTCTCGGAGCAAACGTCGAATCAGAGGCCACACAAATCGAGTCTTTGCTTTTCTGTAGACGGCTTCGCTACGGATATAGTAGGTGGGTGGGATAGCGCAATTATTTAGGTGGCGGAGGTCTTGGCGAGGTATGTTGGGGATGCACCGCAGTAGCCGTGACCTCCACAGCTAGGAGGCTCTTCGGCGCATAGCACTAACACCACGTCTGACAACTCCAACATTCCGATGAATCTACAAGCGTTGAGGTTAGTATCACTCTTCGTCGTTTAACCTCCAGAGCTCAGAATATGCCGGTCGTCCTCATGTTTCCAGGAAAAACATATTAGGGCTGCCTAAGCATTGTACACGGCAACAGGTTGCATAACCATCAGCCCCGTTGGAGACCAGTGACTCTACAATCGTCCTCCTTCAACCTTGCTTCAGTCTCGACATGACATATCGCGTGGGAGGCCGCTTCGGAACACAGCGATCACCCACATCAATGCTTTCGGCCTTCCCGAACGCAGGTAATCCTCCCGACAACATGTTCCTGGGTGGGAGAATTTCTCGCCATTGGGCGCCCATCATGGTACTTACATACCCATAAATCCACCTTCTGGGTGGAAAACATCTCGTCCAGGCCCCCATGCACCTCCATGCCAAGCTCAACCATTCGAATTGTACGTCAGGCCAAGGTATAGATCAGCCTCCAGATCCGTGTAGTGTAGCATTTGCATCTCCAGATAGGTCGTAGACCGGCAGTATACCGGTTGATGTACCTGCGGCTGCAGCCATGAGGCGTTTTTTCTTCACGTCTCGGCGGTCAAGGTTGCGGGGACGTCGGTACATGAGCACCGAGAGGAACAGTCCTCAGTGGTGAGATGTCATTCTGGTAGAATATAAAGAGGTCTGCAGCTCGTCTGCAAGTTTCTCCATCAAGCATCCGGCAACCAGCTTCTCGGGACACTCACTGAACTCCGGTTCGCATATCAACTTCCAAGACCTCTTCAAAGTCTCTCAGATCAATCTCACAATGGCTGCTCGTGCCTCTGCTCTCATGCTCCTTGGAGCCTCCGCCGCCATGGCTGGACCTCTTGCCCTTCGCCAGGCTACCGTCACCGTCACCCACACCGCCGAGGCTGCTCCTGCTGCCACAGCTTGGGATGCCGGTGCTGTTCATCAGTTCCCCATCCACGCTTCTTGCAACGCTACCCAGCGTAGCATGATCCAGAAGGGTCTCGATGAGACAATGACCATCGTCAGCCATGCCCGCAACCACATCCTCCGCTTCGGCAATAACTCCGAGGTCTACACCAAGTACTTTGGCGACGCTCCCACTGGTGAGCCTCTTGGTTGGTTCACCAAGATTGCCGACGGCGACAAGTCTGGCATCCTCTTCCGTTGCGACAACATTGACGGCAACTGCGACCAGGAGGGCTGGGCCGGTCACTGGCGCGGCTCCAACGCGACTTCCGAGACTGTCATCTGCGACTTGTCCTACGAGATCCGCAGGCCTCTTTCCACCATGTGCATGCTCGGATACGATGTCGCCAACGGCGCCACCAACACTTTCTGGGCTTCCGACCTTCTTCACCGTGTTCTCCACCTTCCCCAAGTTGGTGAGGGTGTCGTCGAGCACTACAACGACGAGGAAGAGGAGAAGTACCCCGGAACCCTCGCTCTTGCCAAGAACAACGCTACTTACGCCGCGAGGAACAGCGACACTCTCCAGTACTTTGCTCTTGAGGCTTACGCCCATGACATCGTCGTTCCCGGTGTTGGTTGCCCTGGCACTTACACCCCTCTTGAGGAAGAGTCTTCAGCTGCTGCCACCAGCACTGCTTCTGCCACCGCCTCCGCATCTGCTGCTCCTGCCTCTGCCTCTGCTACCGCGACCTCATCTGCCGCTGCTGCCCCCGCCGAGGCCTGCGAGCCTCACGACGACCACTGGCACTGCCCTCCCGGCGTCCCTGAGCCCACCTCTCCTCCTGCTTAAGCGTTTACGACATGATAGCCGCACATATGGCTACGAATAACGGACTTACTTGACTTTGTCATCGAGCTCCTACATGATTCATAGAAGATCACGATAGACATTAATGATAATCCAATTTCCCCATGATATCATTTGGTATATGCTTGTAATTTATGCGATGTGTTTAACTCCAATCATCCCCCATAGGCCTGCTTCTGGTGAGCATGGCATCCTATGCAGTTCGGTTTCGTAGACTCACAATCACGTCTTCAGTTTACGCCGCGCGTAGATGATCAGTTGTCGCGCTGTGAACCAGACGGTATTAGTATTGGTGTGAGCTCGACGCGTTGTTGGGATGATGGGATGGGTGAGGGAGCAAGCCACCCCACATAACCCCACTTACGTCAATTACGTAATGCAAAAGCTCGGACTAGAAACACGGGAACTCCAGCTGAAGACACCCGTAACCCGTCTCGCGGCGTCAAGATTACATTTCAGTCGAACCTCCATCAAAAGAGCATTGCAATGACGAGCTCGCAGGAAGGACCGGTAAATTGCCGTTCCTCAGCTACCCATCCGGCATGGCCAGAGGTTTCGAAGTAAGTCGCTAATGAACACTCGATAAACTCCACCAGTGCTCATCGCGTTCAGGCTATACAAGCAGATAGAAGCGAAGGAAAATGAATGTGAACAAATCGATTCGGGTGAAAAGGATGTAGAGTACCCAGACGACGTAATAGACGAGATAAGGGCTGAGATCAGGCGGCTCGAAAAGTAAGCATCATAGCTTCAAGAAGCGGTAGTCACTGACTAAAGACAGAGAGATAGACTCTCGAATCATGAAACATGAAGCTGATGGATTCAGAAAACTCGCAAAGAATTTGCTGAATGCTCTAGGTGGCGTTGCCGAGTTGCGCCTCTCAATCTACGAGTTTCTATGCGTAGAGAAAGACGGTGTTCACATACCAGATTTCACCCACGACTTCTTTCATGAACACGATACAGCAGACGTGGTGAATCTGGTCGCTATAGAGGAGACATCCTGGCCTAATATACCAGAT